TATATATACATACACACACACACATGACACCAGACTAGCTGGCACAAAATGTATGCTAACGACAGCTGACGGCTGTTTTGAATATTTCAGAATTGTCAATTCATGTGTGAGTAGACCGCGGGCCATGCCTCAAAAATGTGCCTAGAAATCAACTTTCGTGACCCATCTCTTGTATCTACCTTATTTTTTCTCACTTATAGAGAAAAAATCACTGAAAAAGAATATACAACTCGTCAGTGCTATAAGTTGCACATTAATTAGTTATGCTAATTAAACAAAGTGATGGCGCCCTCTACAGTTCAAAAATGGCAATTGCATGTTATTGTATGGGTTTATTGGTGTATTCATCTACGTACATGAAATAACGTTGACTGTATATATATAAAATATATGTTTGCGGGCATAACGGGGGGGGGGGGGGGGGTAGGAGTGGGTGGATTACCTCATGTTTTTTTATGGGGGGCAATGGTGGCTTCACCTAATCGTGAGGAAGGGTGTGGGGATGGTGAATTTACCTCATGGAGAGGAAGGTTTTTTATTTGTTATTTTTCATTATTATTATTATTGTTGGGGGGGGGGTGGTGGATTCACGTCATGGGTGTTTTTTTCTTGGGGGGCGGGGGTGGGTGATGTATCCCCCTTTTTTCGTGTTTTTTTTTTTTTACGATGGGGGGTTCCCCTTATTGAAACGAAGGGTAATTGTTGCTTGGTGATTAAAATTAATTATACTTAATTAACGGTTGTGTGTCATTAGTTTGTATTTTTGTGTGTCTAGATGTGAATTTATGTGCAATTACTAGTTATGTGTGTGACACACATGTACATGTGTGTGCAATTCATTCATGGATCGTTGATGTACACACAATTCTCCAAGAGTTAAAATAAAAAAATAAAATAAAAATAGGATCTTCTAGTTGATGCTCCTCACCCATCTCGGCAGCAGCCAACACCCCGCAACACATGCACAACATCAACCCCGCTCCCCCTCCCCTCCCCCTCCCCCTCCCACACACGCTCAATTTAGTTGTAGCAATACAGACACACAATCTCCCCCCTCCCCACTCGCCATTGTGACTTGCATGCACTGAATCATTCATGCGTTTCTGCAAACACATGCACAATCACATACTGAACACATAATCACACCCTGCCACACCCATTAGACAAATAAAAGAAATCTGCAAAATCAGTTGTCTTTTTTTTCTCATTTATTTAAGATTTCACATGTGGTCTCATAGATCCACGGATGTTTTGGTACATGTAATATATAAGACAAAAAATCTGATAATGAGTTAATGACAACAGTAATAATAATGATATAACTAGCAACATTGGTTATAATAATAATGCCAATAAAAAAGAAAAAATAAGAAGAACAAATAAATAATATAATACATATACTTGTAAAAATAATAACAATCAAGTACTTATTAACAGGGAAGCAGAGAGGGAGAGAAACACAAAAAGTTGTACTTCTAAGTTGTGAAAACCATACAGCAAATTAGCTGTAAATGATAATGGAATACATTTAGCAATCTTAATTCAATATTATGTGTAAAACTCTTCCTTACTAAGATCTGAAAAGTTCATTGTACAATAAATGCTTTCACTCTCTGACAGGCTGCTCGATCTCTGACTCCAAATATTATACATGCATTTTTGTTGGTATACACTGCAATGTGCACATATTCAGGATAGATATTATGCGTTAACGATTTGCCATACTTTTTGCTGTTGAAAAATCGACCTTTCATACCAGCATTCACGTTTTAAATAAAATTGTGAGAATCAATAAATCTGCATGCACCTCACAAGCACAATTAATCATCATGGGAAAACTTCATTACAAAAGAGACTGCTTTTAATTCAGAGAAATGTGATAAGTATGGATTGAAGTACCACAAATGTGTCTTTTGATATTTTTTCTTTCATTTACGTTCAGATATTATATTACCCTTTCCATTTAATTCTTCAAAGTGAAAAAGTAGGCATTACTTTCCAGTTACATTTGTATATTCCCATTCTCATATATTACCAGCAGCATGTATTCGATTCATGCAGGCAGGTTAACACAGAATAGTACACTAATAAGTCTATACACTTAAAGAACTTACTTCAGCCTATTTCAACAACAAAATGGAGCAATAACTAAAACCCTGAGAATTATAGACTTTGCTATCACCACATGTTCTCATGAAATATATTCATGTGTAGAGCTTGACCTCTAAAATACGATATAAGGGCGAGGCTTTGGTGACAATACATTCATTTCCACGGATAAACTGTACAGTCTTGGCATTTACCAATGTACATGTACCAGTACCTATACACACAACAATGTGTGTGTCTTTGAATTTCACGTACACAGAAACATGCAACATCTCTTTCCAGAATTGAGAATTCTAATTGTCATTACAATCACCATTGGCCCTCTCGTTCTTACAAACGCACTTAAAAAATATCTACATTCGTAGATATATATATATGTACTACTAATAACATCTTTGACTGATCCTCTCCTCTACTATCTTGCGACAGAAGCTGGAGTATGATCTCTCGTACATCTGTTGTGCAGTTTCTGTGTGAAGTTTTGAACCGAGTGCCACCTTTGTGTACCTGTAATAACAAGATTTGTGATATCTAACTTCAATCGCTACATGATCCTTACCCCTTAAATCCAACAACAGAGCTTCATCTTGCTTCATCAAAGCAGCCGTTAACAAATTCCCCCCATCTTTTCTTTCACACAAGACATATTTTTCTACTTTTCGTTTACCCGAAGATTGTTCACGAAAGTACTTCGTCCCTTTGCAAATGACACATTGGACTGGTAGCACATGCCGTCTGTCAGACCACTGGGGGGTAGAGGATTGCTGTCCGCACGATACTCCAGATCGTAACATTCTCTTGGGTGCTGGTCCTGCTGGGATATCTCCGTCTTCATTGGGGGGTGCTTATTGAAGATGTTCCTTGGTTGAGGTCTTCTCGGCATCTATATTGGTTATAAAAAAGGCAGAAAGAAAAGAGGATAGGAGAAGGAAAGAGAAAAAGAGAAAACAAGAGGATATCAGAAACAAACAAAAACAATAAATTAGCAATCAAAATATGACTTTACAGAATGTTCAAAAGAATGAACACTTTACATCAATCAATTTTGGGCAAAACATGTGAAAAAAAAAGTTATTCTGGAACATAAAGTTACACTGTAGGCCTACCAATATTTAAATCTGAATATTATGCAAAAGAAATCAATATTTTAAACTTGAAACATGAATTGCTTCATTCTACGGTGACATGAACAATAGGATACATTGGGATTTTTGCAAGAACAATAATTTTTTTTTTTTTTTAATTCATACAAATATTGTCACAATGGAAAAGAAATTAAAACAAAACATGTTTAGATATACATGTAGATGTAAATTACCTTTCTTCTTCTGGAATCTTGCTATCGCTCGATTGATTGTTGTCACGTTGCAGAAGTGTCGATAACATTCGGCATGATACCCTGCAGTTGACTCAAGTTTCCTAGTTAAAGATAACACAAAAGAAGAAATAATTGATTACTTTATTTATTCTGTGGAAGGCAGTAATAAATTACAAATAAAGACACCTTTCGGAAATAATATCGCTAGTGATATCCGTTTGTTTCGCAATGTATGGTCAACAAGGGATCTAAAAGTCCTTTAGATCCCTTGTTGACCATACATTGCGAGACAAACGAATATCACTAGCGATGTTATTTTCGATACTATATCCGCAATGAGTAATATATTTAGCATTAAACTTAAAGACACCTTAAATAAATGAGCTAACAATATAATATTGTAGATCTAGACCTAATTATTGCAGGTATTGCATTTCATGACTTGGCTTTGCCTTGCTCTGGCAAAGTTTGGTGAGACCATACCATCTTTTAAAATTAGATTTAGAGTTTTGACTAGTAAGTAGTAATGCAGCATGACTAGCTGACAAGTCAAAATTAAAACAACCATCTTTTTACCATGCCATATCATATGCCTTATCATTCATTCATAATGTCTGAAAACTCTGGTCTGGATGAACAAGGCCAGCGCTACTTCAATAATACTATGCAGTATGGCACTATGCATATGGGCCAGGCCAAGCAAATTATGGCAAACTCATTTAACTTAACTTAAGTCTTAGACTAGAGTTAGACAGCCAGGGCCCAAGCCAGTAGATCTATAAATTTGTCTTACTGCCTGGCTACTGCCCATGCCTGGGGCCCCTGCCCTAGTAAATTTCAGTTTCAATGCAATGCAATTATGCAAACCTAGAGATATAGTACAATATTTTACTTAATTAAAATGAGTTAAGTAGTTTTAAAGATCTACAGATCTAGAGAATAGTTGTATCTTACCTGCCAGTTCTTTGTTTATGTTCATGATCATCACCATCATCAGTGCAGTGCCAGTATCATCACCACCGCCTCTGCATTTGGACGGTCCCACTCCTTCACTTTCTTGTTGTTGCTGCAGGAACTTGGCAGCAACTCTGCTTTCCGAACTTTCTTTTACATTGATCCATTTCGCTGCACATTCTTGAAACTTCTTAAAACTTTTATCACCAAATGGGGTAACCTTTGTGTGAGTGTCGATAACATGCATTGCACAGAAGACGGATAAATCTGCCTCGGAATCTTCCGTAGTACTGGCATCTGACGACATAATTGCCGCCATGATGGCCAGTGTCGTCTGCGATCAGCACAGCGTAAAACGAAGCGCGTGATTGGTCATTAGCCCGTCAGTCCGCAGAACATGCAATGAGAAACGTATTTTGATTGGCCAACCATATCGGAAGAAAAATGCAAAATTGTTTTTTTTTCTTCATATTTTGAGAAAATGTGCAACTTTTATCCTTGACGAGTTTCAGATATGATTTCAATACTATTTTTACACATACTGACAAAAAAGAAGGTAGATACAGAGGGTGGGTCACGAAACGAAAGAAAAAAGCACCATGGCCCACGGCCTAGAGGGTATCGACTCGAAGTCATAAATCAGACGAAGCAGTTGTTGCGGTTCTATTGGGTATGAGGCCAATCTTTATTTCATGCTGTTCAACTAACAAAAGAGGGTAGAAGACCCTTGACTGCACGAAGTCACTTCAGTTGCTGTAGAAAATTAAAAGACACAAAAAAAATACAGTAAGTATTGCATTATTACGATCACAAATAATTACTTGCTAAGGCTGTTTTCCGGAGCAGAAAAACTAGAGATCCATAATTACAAATATATCATCTTCCATATACAGTGTATACAATTTAGTTCATACATGTACATTGTATATATTGAGTTTACCTCAGCCAATGAAATGCATGTAGTAAATAAATGTGCCATGAAGGCCACTCCCTATTTATTACTTTCACATACATATATTTATAATACAATTCTGCAAATGAGTGAGCTATCCTTATCATTCTATCAGTCTTACGCAATATAATCTCAAACTAATCACGATACAAATGCAGTGGGACATGGCATCTACCAATATTTAGGTCACCTCATCTCTAGAGAAGATTGCAATATTTGCTATCTGTAATTAGTTATTAAAACATTTGCATACCCATGTGAATTCCAAAAGAAAACCAACAGAACATATCTTTATGAATACAAGGCTTACCAAAAAGCAGTTATATACTAATAATGTCTTACTGACACGCCTTTCTAGCATTAATAGGCGTGGCTCAATTACTACCAGCATGCATCCTTCATGTAAATTAAAGTTAAATCTTCCTCTTCTTCACACAAATCATAATCTATCCAATTAAACTCCTCAGCAAATCTTAACATCAGAGAGTTAATTATATACTGTACTCACATATTAAGGTGTCCAAAACCAACTATAGACATCAAGAATATCAGGATGAGACATCAGTTACAGCTTCATGTACATGTAGGCACAGCTACAACCAGTCTCATCTCTGCTCACTGCATGTATGAGCTTTAACCTGCATGCAGTGAGTGTATGTCCACTGGGGCATATCACTCCTCTTTAGTTAGGTACATTCCTTTTACCCCTGACTAATTTGCATTATAAAGAAAGAGCTATTTCTCATTCCCTCACACATGAATATGACTATACTAGTATTAATCCATTAGCAATAATTAAAAATCTATTTGAAATATAGACTCTAGGTCTAGATATGGAACTTCATGGACTTTTTTTTTTTTTTATCTTTTAAAACTTCATGGACTTATTCTTCAGAGAAATTCTATAATCCACCGCTCTCGGCTGAGATAGATCCTAAAATAACCCAGCCTTTTACGGTTAAGCATTGTGCATCCTTTGTCCCTCCCAACAAATGTACACTCTCTCTCTCTCTCTCTATCTTTCTCTGTTCTTTCTATGTCTCTATCACTGCTTTTTTCTTGCTCTCTCTTTCGCTGTTCTTTTATCACCATCTCACTGTAGTTTTCACCTTTTTATCCTAATTGTAGTGAATTGTCATCATGTCGGAGAGAACAAAAGTCACCAAGGCAGAGCTTGAGAGAAAGCGGCTACGCCTTCAGCAGATTAGAGAGGACAAGAAACGCAGAGAAGACGATAAGAAGAAAGAGGTACCGGTATTTATTTTGTCATTCAATGGATGTATCATTTTGTAGTGTGTCGGTTTTCATGGTTCAGTCACTTCAGTGGATGTTTTTAGATAATGTTTCTTTCTATGTCGAGACTCTACATGTATGTGTAATTAGCATTTCAAATTTGAACTTCAACTTTTCAACTCATTGAAATGAAATGTTTTGAAGTGAAAGCGGTTTCCCTATCTTGCAAGGCTTTATATTGCATGAGATTAGAAATCTTAAGCAGGATGTTGCACCATTTAATGCATGAATTTTCTACATTTTATCCTATTCATGGTCACTTTTTTGTTGTCTTCCTATCCGAATATTGATTTTACCTCACTACCCACGGTCAGTTTAAAAGTCATTATTAGTTTAATATTTAATTATTTATTGATTTCTCTAAAGCAGTAACATGCGCGTCCAAAAAAAAATTTTTTTAATGTAAACAAATTTGAAAACTTACACAAAAAAAGAAGAAGAAATTATATATGTTCATAGTGTCTTATGTCATGGGATATTATAACCCAAGGTCATTCTATTGTTTTAAAGGAGCTACAGCATGTAGGGAGATGTTAGTGTGTTTAGCGGTAGGTTTTCATGGTCAGCTCTCTGTCCTCGCCTCCAAAACGGCTCAGGCGACCCGGTTGAAAACTGGGTCACATCTATTGGATGGTAATGTTAAAGGGCGGTCCCTAGACATAAATAATCATATCTGAGTGATACATGTCTGTAAAACCCCAATTACATAGTACATACACATACACACAAGTTGATAATTGAGGTATCAAGTTATCAACCAATTGTGATTAAAGTTAAACGTGAAGAAAATTAATCGTTTCTTAGTGCTTGCTATTTACAGTGATTATAATATAGATATGTTGTTTTGCACAGTTTGCTATTCTAAGTACCAAGCTAGATTTTCTGAGCAAGCTCTGTCTCTTTGAATGAACCCTTATATAGGCTGAGAATGCAGCTAAAGCAGCAGCTGCTTCTCCTGCTGTCCCTGGGTCTGTGCTTGATAAAAAGAGACAAGAAGCTGATGACATCTTGAGAGGTCTAGATCTCCCAGAATCAGGTATTACCATTGTCTCATATCACCGCTGTTAAATTGTATTATTACTATTTTTATTCACAAGAGTTTTGTATAGGTTTTCTTTTGAAGAGAGTTAGAGACCTTTCAAAGACCCTTGTATCTTTGTTTCATTGTTTTTCAGAGCTCTTTTCAAACTTTACATTAAGCTTGTTTATTTTCAACATTTGTTGAGTTTGAATGTCATGACCTGTAGCTGAAGTTTATTTTGTCTATGAAAATTTTGTCTATGATACAGTGGTTTTTATAGAGCATTTATTTCCGTCACTCTTGCCCGCTTAAAGCACTTTGACATTATAACCACAGTTAAACTGAGATGCCGAAGTATCTAGTGCTCAAGCATTTCATGTACCTGGTTACATCTGGATGGAGAGTGACATATGTAGATTAAAGTCTTGACAAAGGACATTAGTGATGGGCTGGGAATAGAACCTGGCACCTTGTTTTCTACAGTTCAGTGACTTATCCACTCGAACACAACATCTCCTAATTTAATTCATCCGATTTTATGTATTTTCAGCTCCTTTGGCAGTAAGTTCTCCTGCAGAAGCGAGTTCTCAGGATTCAAGCGGAGATGTCAAGCCAAGACTTAGGTACATCTGGTTTCTTCAAATCTTTTGTTAACATCATGTGAAAATATCATATCCAATTTCATTCAGAAATTTCAGCTAAGTTTTGTACTTCTGTACTAGTTCTTCACTCCTGCATTTGTATTTGCTATGCAATGGTGATTCTACCATTAATAATTGATATAAGTGTAAATGTGTTAAACAGAAACATTATGAAAACCACTCATTTTCAGAAGCTGATTAATAGTAAGCAAGAAATGAAAGATAGGCTGTGGTACAGCATGTATTAATGCAGAGTCTACATTGCATGTGTATTTTAGTAGGATGGTGGTGAATCTGTTTTCTTTTTGGTTGGGGGAGATTATGTTTGCCAGACCAAATTTCTCCTAATCCTCATCAAAATGTGTGCTGTCTAATGTATTGCCTTTTTACATGGCAGCTCATTTTCTATATTACTTTTATTTGCTAGTGTGAGTCCTAGTCACAAAACCACGAAGCTGACTGTATCTAAGATTACCCAAGCCGGGTTTCCTCCTAAAGAGATGGTTACATACTCCAAAGAGACTCAGACACCAACTGAAACTCCAGATGATGAAGGTGAGTTTAGCATCTTCTTATCTTCTTATATTTGACCTTATGTAAATATTTAAAAGGTGTGAATAATGTGATACGTTCAGTCTCTTTTTCTTCTTCTTTTGTGCAAAGAATTTACTTTCAAAATGTGATTATACCCTCCAGGATATGGTGATGACAAATGTATGCCAAAAAGTGCACTCTCAGAAGCTTTGTGTTAAAGATTTTTATAGCTTCTTGCCAGCTTCTATATTTATATTGTCAGGCTGCCTTTATGAGTTTGTTGCATTTGGTTCCAAATTCACACCCTATTGTCTTTCTGTTTTGCCCCTCCATCTACAAAAGAACACCTTCTGTTCATGCTTGTACATAAATGCCTTTATTAATTTTGTCATAAAAAATATAAAGGCTACCGTAACTTATAGCTTTCAGTGATATGAGCTTTTCAGGTCAGATAATTTCAGAGATATTGTTTCAGGTATGGACTCCAATTATGCACCATGTTAAGGTAATTAGCTTGATTAGCCGTAATAAGACAAAGGTAAAAGGTCACATATCTATTAAGAATTATTTTTGTGTTTCGTGATATCTTAAGAACAATTTGAACAGAAATTGGTGCTGGTGGTGTGTATCACCTTTTTGAGATGAAAATAATAATGGGATAGGGGCGATTAGGTGAAAGGTCACACTCATAAAGATGAATTGATTTGATGAATATGGTTTAAGTCTTGTAATTCACAGTATCACAAGAAGTATTTAACATATCTGTATGAATGAAGGGGCATCATGCAGTTCAACAGACATGAGATTAATCAGTATATACAAATGTATGTAATTCCAGAGCAGTGAAATCTTACATTGATATCAGGAAAGGGTAATCAAATTGTAACTAAATATATGTAGCACATTGGACACAGACTATCAATTTCCTTGTTGTTTGACATTATGTCTGCCTTTCTGTGTCCCTTGTATGCATGTAGCTCTCCATAGTTTATCTGACGCATTTTGTTCATGTTGTTCATGTAGCCTTTAATTATTTTATTGCAATAATTAATATCAATGACATTTGCCTTCTAGCAACAGGATTAGTAAATGACAGTGGGATCAGAAACAAATCTAGAACACTGCATTTATGAAAACTGATTTTTTAAACCTGTGTATAAGACGCACCCCATACTTTCCGAAAAAAAATCAGCGGGAAAAAGTGCGTCTTATACACAGAGATTAACGGTAGCTCTTAAAGCTATTGAAGAAGGCGAACCATTAGTTGTCTTGTACGAACTAGCTAGCTAAGATCAAAGCCCAGTATATTGCATGCACATGTCATTACCAATTACATTGACCAATACGTGTTTTCCTTGATGAGAATTTCTATACTGATGTACAATTTGGACATTGCTTAACCTAAATAGTGTTTTTATGTTCATGCAGTAGCTGTAGAAGTTAATTATGCATTGGTTTGTTTTTATTGAGATATTTCTAATTTCTGTGTTGTCCCTCTATTCCCATTCCCTTTCAATTATAATGAATTGATCTGTATCAGGAGATTATGAAGGTAATGCTCTGTCTGTCTGTCAAACCTGAATCTTGTCTTGATCTTTGCCTTGCAGTAGTTAGATTGCATGCTGTGCATTGAGTACGGTAGTAGAATCTCTCCCAAAGAATTTAATTCCTTCACTCTTCAGTCCTCTTGAAAGCAGTCTGTGTACCGTATGTGGATAGTGCATTGTTGCTTTATTGCCTTGCTTGTATTGTGCTTGTACATGTACATCTTCTGTAGCAATGATATTACAAAGAATACAAATACTGGTTTGGGGGGACAATAAGTATAGAACACGATGTTACATGTACATCATCAGAACATTTTTACAAATATGGATTTAAAAGAATTCAATTTGTATGAAATGAAATCCACTTCAGTTTTGTTCCTTTCATAAACTGAGGAAATATCTTTACATTAGCCCTTTTTTTTGTTAAACAATTACTTTGAAGAAGTAACATATATAAAGTGAATTTAAGATAGATATCAAAGAATGTCAAATCATATTTTTATTAAAAATTAATGAAACCAGTATAATTGAATCATGTTCATGAAGTCAATGCAGTCAACATGCAATTTAACAAATGACAGATACACATGTGCAGCAACTTTGTGCTCTGTGTTTGTTTGCATGTTTGTTTGTTTTACAAAAATTTGATGATTTTGAAAGTGCTGGTTGAAATAGTAAGTGTACAAAGGGTTTCCATTTATAAATTCATGCTTTTTATAAAACTGCAATAACATTGCCTTCAAACTATTACACACATTCTCTCAAATTCAGCGTGTACATGTATTTTTATTGGGAAATCAGGAAGAAATGTTTCTTTTTATTCTAATGAGTTTTGACAGATTTTCTGTTGATGTCCTTCTCAGGTAGACAAAAATGCGGATAAAAATGTATTGATTTAAGTGTAAGAAAATAATCAAGTTACAGTCTAATGAGGCTTATACAACACTGGGGCATGCTCTTTCTTACTTTCTTTGTATAATGGGTTCATTGAACATCTGTTTGGGAAAGGTTCAAGGGATTTTATGATACACTAAGCCACTTTTTGCATGGTGGGGTTACCGCATGAAGTATAAACAAGGTTTCCAATCTTGTACAAAATTCTAATTCAATGAAATATTCAATGGATTAGTTGCTATAGATCAGAATGGTATTTCATTGATCATTAAATATCAATAATTACTCAATCTTGAAAAAGAATTCAATTCTAATGTTAACCAAGTTCATTATTTTATTCACCTCCTAGACAATTGAGAGCATGAGTTGCCTTGAGGCTTATGAATTATAGATTCCATCATTCCAGTTTGTTTTATATAAGTTATCAAATTGAATATGATTTGACAAAAGTTTATGTGTTTTGTTTGTAGAAGATGATGAGCCTAAATCTGAGTCGGTAGAAGCAGTACAACCAGTTCCTGAAGTACCTCAACCTGAAGAGAAAGAAGAAGAGGAAAAACCGGAAGGTATGTGCCTTTTTAGTCTTAAAATATCTATATTGCAGAGATCTACTTCTGAAATTCATTGCATGAAATCCTGTTTTGAATTGCCCAAGTTTTTCTTATTCATATACAAAAACCACACAGAATGCACAGAAGCAAACCACACCTTCAAACACTTATTCCTTTCTAGCGATATAAAACATAGGGAATTTTTTTTCTGAGTCTATGCTCAGTTTAAACCTACTCTGATTTGTCAATGATTTTCTATGTTTGTTTTCCTATAATTGTAACAAATTTCACATAACTTTTACCTTTGCCAAATATAAGCAATAAGAAAAAAAAGAAGACCCAAGTCTTGTGGTGTTTCAAGCTAAAATTTGGACACATGTTGACTCATGTACAACTTAATCTGCATTATCTCTTCAATCTGCACAGTGCACATCTACCTCAAACGAACTCTCTCTCTCTCTCTTCTCACTCACTCCCTCCCTTTCACAACGTTCATCTGTCTTTCCCTCTTTCACCTTCCTTCTCCCCCATTATCTTTTCTCCTCTCTTGTATGATTATTGCAGTAATTGTATCACATGTCAGTATGCATTCTAGTTTTATTGTTATTTTTTCTCAGTTCCCAAGGAATATACAGAGGAAGAGAGGACACAGATAGAGAGTTCAGAGGCTTACCAAGTGTTTCTTGATCACTCAGTTCGTCTGATGGAAAGAGCTTTATCAGAGAATGTGGATATCTTCATGGATTATGAAGGGAAAGGAGATGGAGATGGAGAAGGGTAGGTTCATGTCATATTCTTTTGGTGAGATCTTTTGTTAACATCATACAACTCTAGAAACTAACTGTTCAGTCCTCAACCTTGAATACTCTTCCAACATGGAATGCTTGGAACATCTGGTTCATGTATTTTATATTTTGGATTATGTTTGTACATTTTCTATGATAAAGAAAAGAAATGAACCATGTTGCTGATAAAAGACACATGGGTCCAGAGACTGGTGGATTCCTATTCCATATGTTTGGATGTAATTATGGGAAAAGTTAACTAACCATTCAACATATCTGTCTGCTAAGAAGTCTTGTTCATGTAGATAAGCAAACAATGATAAACCTAGTTTGAACCACTATCACATTGACTTGGTTTTGAACCAGGGACCTTCTGGTTATGCTCTACTAATGAGCTGTCATGAATCATTATCTGGACTCAAAGAGGCTTGACATTGGTAGTCATATATCATATCAAATGCTTGTATCTTAGCAATGGTGAATGCCAATATATCATACTGCCATCCAACAAAATGTAAGGGATTATTAATAATCAAATGAACATTAGATTGTTAAGGTTGAGCCTATTCATCTCGCGAATCAGACCAGTGGATCAGGAATGAATACTACACAAATTTTGCATCAGTTTTGTATGAAAAAATTTATTAGCATAACTGTAGTATGAAGACTCTATGGTTGAACTTTATCAAGAGTATTGTGAGTAGTATGGCTTTATATTTTCTCACATATATGTATCACCCTAAAAAGGCTAGAGGCTTCCCCCACCCCATTCATTGTATAATTGTCTTGATAGATAAACAATTTCTTGGCTTGGTAGCATTGAGTTTCATCTTACACAACTTTTGATGCCAAATGCAAGCTAAATAATGAGACAATAAATCACTCTTTAAACTAACATTCCCCTTTTGATGTTTTGATATTTATAATGCAGAATTGCCATGATTGAAGATGTAAAATCATCACTCTCCACTAATTACAAAATGTATACCAGATAGGCAGATCATCTTAATAATCTACTACATGAAAGTAAAAGCAATTGAATATAATTTTATCAAGTCACATGATTGTGTTTGTTTGAATTTAACAGAGACAAGGATGCTGGTGCTAAGTTGTCTTTGAATCGATCCTTCTCTGATGAACGCTGGTCGCGTCACAGGGTTGTCACATGTCTGGATTGGTCCAATCAGGTTAGTCTTGCATCAGTCCGTTTTAAACCATGTCACAAATACCCCCATGGTAAAATCAGTTGTTCTGTCCAGTTTGTTAATGCAACCTATTTGAACTTTAATTAAATCAATTTTAATTTACAGGGAATTGAAGTAACACTGAAAAAAAAAACCTGTACAGTTATATTATTACAGTGTATTGTACAATGTACTGTATTTGTCGGCGATAAGGCTGCAGCACCGCATAGGCCGCACCCCCAACTTAAACATTTCGTAGAGGAAAAGAACAAACAAAAAAGGAAGAAAAAAAAACAGACCAACAAAATAATCATAATTTTCTTGTAGAACACTATTTTTTTCTACAAACTGATACCAAGTTCATCAATATTCTTATAAATTTACAAAAAGTTTACCTAAAAAATTATCATAATTTAGCAGATTTTCATCGATTTTTAAGCGAGTATTGTATCGCAGGCAGATTTGGTATCCTACATATACCCCTACCACGATGTGCAGTGTAATATGTAATAGCTACTTCGGCTAAAAGTGCAGTTGAATTGCATGCAAGGCAGCTCCGTAACGGACCGGTCCCTTCTTTTACTTTTTGGCGATGCAATGGTAGATCTAGATCTACCGGCAGATTTTGTTAAAAAATTAATTATGCAGTTTATTTTTGTCTTCATGTCAACAATGCAACATAAAATTGTCGGTAAGATGTGTAGAGTTATTCTAGAAATGTCCTGTACCATTGTATAGTCATTGTAGTCCCATATGTACAAATGGACGTGCTGTTTTGACTGCTGAATTGTTGCGCAAAGGCTGCACCCAGACTTTTGGATATTTTTTCTTTCGAAAATACTGCGGCCTTTACGCCGGCAAATACAGTAAATATTTAAGATATTTTATTTGACATTTATTGGCAGCCCAGCAATGCATAAAGTGTAATGTTTTTCTTCTTCTTCTTTTTGTTGCACAGTATCCTGAGTTGTTGGTGGCTTCTTATAATAACAATGAAGAGTCTCCACATGAACCAGATGGAGTAGCTCTGATATGGAACATGAAATACAAGAAGCAAACACCAGAGTATATCTTCCATTGTCAGGTAACTCTTCTTACAGCTCATCATCCATATCATATCAATCTATATGATCTTACTCTTAGCATTGATAGAATGATTATAACATGCATTTATTGTAATGTTATATTTACTAGATGTTATCGAAGAACTGGAAGTATAATTAACAGCATAAGCAACTCTTGTGTAACAGCTTTATTGAATAAATGAAGCATAAGAATGTTTACCATAACAACATTGCTTAGTGTCATGATTGAATACACATTTGTTTTTTTCCTGATAGAGGAATGTAAAAATATTAATTGCGATAGATTTTCATTCAGTTGAATCTGACCCAGTTGAGGCCTAGTACTTTAGGCAGCTCTGATTTCAGCAAACCCTCATTATTAACACAGTTTGGTCCATCATTTCTCATTAAAAGAAGAAATATTATGCTATTTTACATAAAGTGTGAGTACTAGATTGATCCTTTGCCCTGTTTACCTATTCAGTCTGCAGTGATGTCTGCTGGCTTTGCCAACTTTCATCCTAACATGGTGATTGGAGGTACATACTCTGGACAGATTGTATTATGGGACAATCGAAGCTCAAAGAGAACTCCTGTACAAAGAACTCCACTCTCTGCAGCTGCACACACAGTAAGAAGGATTATCTCTCTTTTATTAAATTAAAAAATAAATTTTGTTAGGCCTTAAGTGTTATTTTGATCTTTGAGGAAGGTCTCGCTGTCTAGAGTGTATTCAAATGTTTTTTTCACTCAAGATTTAAAAGTGTAAAAGAACATGGACTAAACCCCCCCCCCCCCATGCCAAGCATTCTCTAAGCTTTCAAGATTTGTTTGTTATTGCTGTTGTTGTTTATTTTTGTTAACATCTTATATCCCTACAATCTCATTTCATGTTTATAATGATCTGTAAAAGAAGATGCCACAAATTAAAAGTTTAGCCAACTATGCTATATGTGGTGCCTACCCTTCCTATTTCACCATGGTCTGTTAACGATATATGTAACTTTGTTGTTGACAGCATCCTGTGTACTGTGTGAAGGTGGTTGGAACTCAGAATGCTCACAATCTAATCAGCATCTCAACAGATGGTAAGATGTGCTCCTGGAGTCTGGACATGCTCTCACAACCACAGGTAAATGGATACACCCCATATCTACACCCCATACAGAGCTGCCACCATTCCGTTTGTGCCGGAATTACTCTGTTTTTCCTCCAAATTACGGTATTACGTTTTTTCTTCATAAAATACTCTCTTTTTTTTTTCTTTCTTTTTTCTTTTTAAAATATTTTTTAAATATTTTTTTTTACATATCGCACGTCAAACAACTGCCCTAAAATGGTGATTTGATCACAACTTCAATAGAAAACTAATTTTAAAACATACTTGAAGAGAAAAACATGCTCAAAAAGAATGAAATGCTGATAATACCAAAATAATCACCCGAAAAATTACCTGCTTGTATGGAAAAAACAGCATGATGAATGAACATTTCTGCGGCATTGGAAGTGTGTCGCGCGTGATTGTAAGTTTCGTTTTTATGAATTCCTTTTTTTTGCTTGAAATTCCTTTTTTTTTGCCATCATGATTCCTTTTTTTGGTCGCACAATGTTGGCAACCCTGCCCATATCTACACCCCATATCTACACCCCATATCTAAACCCCATATCTACACCCCGTCAACCAGAATCTTGAACCTACCCCCTCAAGACTTTACTCTTATTCACCTTTGGTCTTGAACGTCAGACACAAAGATTAACCTCTTATACTCACCTTGCTTCGTTAAAAATAAGGTTGAGATTCACTCTTTCAAATCATTTATAAGCATGCACTTCCTCTACTTGACTGACTCAGGAAACTAGTGGAGCATGCTCGGGCTATAAGTAAACAAAACATCACAGCTTTCCCCTACGTCTGCCTAGCCGGCTTATATACAATGATTTACCTAAAATAGGGCAAGTTGACACCGAAATACGCATTTAAAATTGTGCATATACGTTCGCGGACACCAACTTTACCGCAAAAATTAAAGCACCGCAAATATTACAACGTTTACAATACTCGTAGCTCCACGTCACTGGTATATACTGGTAATGCACAGTGGATTATCTTTTTTGTAGCTGTCATAATCAGATCTGTATTTCACTCAACTTTCCTTTTTGTTTTATTTCTTTCCACAGGATAGTATGGAACTGAAACACAAGCAGTCCAAACCTGTAGCTGTTATGAGCATGACATTCCCAAGCAATGATGTCAATAATTTTGTTGTTGGTAGTGAGGATGGTTCAGTCTATACAGCCAGTAGACATGGCAGGTATGTATGTCGAGCTTCATTTCAATTCCTTAGTAAATATTATATAAATAGAGGTCTTCTATATACAGTAGACAATACAGGTTGTAGTAATGTTACCACTATGAGATCAATAATTGTTTTGACCATTATATGTTCTTATTCAAGCATTCTTACAAACTAAAAGGTACATGTAATGCAGGGACTAAATATGATTTAGAATTGAACTTTGTATTATTTCATACATTTGTCTCTATAGCAAAGCTGGTATATAGAGGATCACACAGCTAATCTCATTGATTTGTTCTCATCTCTATGTCTCTATAGCAAAGCTGGTATCAATGAAGCATATGAAGCTCACCAGGGACCAGTGACTGGTATTGACTGTCATCATGTCCCAGGACAACTAGATTTCTCTCATCTCTTCCTCTCATCTTCCTTTGACTGGACAATCAAACTATGGAGTCTCAAGGTATTCATTTTATACATAGTACAATGTATGGAATGTGAGGGGGACTTATGGTACAAGCTATAATGTTGTAAGTTGTAGTTGTCCTAATAGAGTCAATGTTCTAGCTGTACTTATCAGAAGGAGACAGTGTGGTGCAATCAGATTGTCTTCTGACTCTAATGACCTTCTGTCACGTGAGTGACTTTAAAAAAAAAAATTATTTCTGCTACGGACACACAAAATAAAGGGAAATAAAGCTTGTTAAAATAAAGTTAAATTGTAACGTTTAATTTCCAATCATTTTTCCTGTTTCACACACTTTGTTTTGGCTTAAGTAAAAATACAGTAGGTAATTAAACTTATCTTTAACAAAATAATTCTGGATGGGTAGTTTCCCGTCTGACATCGATGCTGGTCACAGCTCGTCTCGTCCACTTGGCCCTGGCCTCCGCAGACGGCGTCTTTGCTCCACTTGGCCCCGGTAGTCGCCCCGGATTCTTGACCTCCGCAGACTGAGATACGATGGTGTGCGTCCCGATCCCGGACAAGAGCTAGCCCCCGACGAAAGCTATGGAGAACCGGGTGGCAGTTGAGCTAGCCTCTCGTCCCGACGTGGAATTACCCTCAGATATTGACTTTAATTGCCGACTTCTAACATGACGTTAAGTCTATTATAGCTTAGGTGGTTCTCCTCGATTGCAGAAAATCCACCTCTTAATATACCCTACGGTTACTAAGTAAATTCTAAAAACATGACTACAAATATTTGGAGAGGAAATCATCTTACAAAGGAAAATACTTGTATTGAAAAGAGGCTTCCTAAATGTGTGCCAAACAACAGATAAAACATGTACACTGAATTAATGACTTCCCCAGGCCTATTCATAGGGAACAATACATCTTGGCCTGAAAAGAAAACATCTGACCTTAACAAAGAACACTCCAGACCAGAGAGCTAAACAAATAAATTTCTTTCCTGACACTTTCATCATGCACCTGGGTTTGAGTCCTGCGCTGAGCAGACAAAAATACAAAAATGATTGTCACCTTTTTTTGTGTAAACGTGCCTTCTCCCCTCTGTTCTCAATGCAGACTTAGACTCAGAACATTATCTGGATCCTCCATGTGTTGGAGAATCACACCCTATGCATGTTGATTCACTAGACTTCTCACAGAGAGTATGGTGTAAACCTGATGTTCAGTGTGCCTGCTTACACAACTGTCAATCTACATCAGATCTTCATGATAAAGGGCTGCAACGCCCTTTACAGATTAACAGTGGAGGAAGAAGAGGAATTGTTATTGATGTTCGGGAGTAATTTTCTTAGTGGAAAGTATCTAGCAGGGGTGGATCTACCCCTTGGCAAAAAACTAGATCCGCCCCTGTCTAGGCCTTGGGTGAGTCAGTCCCAAGGTTATAGGGTCTGTTGGTTAATTGTAATAAATAGCAAAGTTTTTAGGGCAAAGCTGTATTAGAGGTAAGTGACCTTGAGGAATGCACAGTTGCCCAAGAGGGATAAGTATCCCATTTGATGCAATTCAAGGGGTCATCGTCCAAGAATTATTATCCTTTGGTCAGTAGCATTGATGATGTTTTTGTAATTCTTCTGAATATTCCAAATAATTTTGGATATTGAATCTTATTTACCCATGTTTCACATGTAGTGCTTTTGTTTTCCCCTGTTTTGTATTTGTGTGCTGCAGAAATCGAGTCCAGTGTATTCCTTTGAAGACAACAGTGACTATGTTTATGATGTGCAATGGTCTCCAACACACCCAGCCCTCTTTGCTGCCGTAGATGGAATGGGAAGAGTAGATCTATGGAATCTCAACAATGATACAGAGGTAGGTTGAGATATTAAATGAAAATAAGAAATCTCATCAAAAGCATAGATTTTTTAATGATTCACCCTCTCACTGATATATGACAAATAAATGTTTCTGTGTCATGTGAGATGTACTATTATCACTATTGACAATGTATATTACCTCAATTTTTGCATTTAAAAAAGTTTGAAGTTCCATTGAACAGAAAATCATGTAAATGATGTCACTTTGTTGTGGTTTAGATGTTATACAAACTAATTTGTTTATTAATGTATAGGTTCCCACTGCCAGTGTGACTCTAGATGGACAACCAGCTGGTAACAGAGTCAAATGGGTTATAACAATTAAGCTTGTTCATTAATGTATATGTTCCCACTGCCAGTGTGACTCTAGATGGACAACCAGCTGGTAACAGAGTCAAATGGGTTATAACAATCAAGCTTGTTCATTAATGTATATGTTCCCACTGCCAGTGTGACTCTAGATGGACAACCAGCTGGTAACAGAGTCAAATGGGTTATAACAATCAAGCTTGTTCATTAATGTATATGTTCCCACTGCCAGTGTGACTCTAGATGGACAACCAGCTGGTAATAGGGTCAAATGGGTTATAACAATCAAGCTTGTTCATTAATGTATAGGTTCCCACTGCCAGTGTGACTCTAGATGGACAACCAGCTGGTAACAGAGTCAAATGGGTTATAACAATCAAGCTTGTTCATTAATGTATATGTTCCCACTGCCAGTGTGACTCTAGATGGACAACCAGCTGGTAATAGGGTCAAATGGGTTATAACAATCAAGCTTGTTCATTAATGTATAGGTTCCCACTGCCAGTGTGACTCTAGATGGACAACCAGCTGGTAACAGAGTCAAATGGGTTATAACAATCAAGCTTGTTCATTAATGTATATGTTCCCACTGCCAGTGTGACTCTAGATGGACAACCAGCTGGTAATAGGGTCAAATGGGTTATAACAATCAAGCTTGTTCATTAATGTATAGGTTTCCACTGCCAGTGTGACTCTAGATGGACAACCAGCTGGTAATAGGGTCAAATGGGTTATAACAATCAAGCTTGTTCATTAATGTATAGGTTCCCACTGCCAGTGTGACTCTAGATGGACAACCAGCTGGTAATAGGGTCAAATGGGTTATAACAATCAAGCTTGTTCATTAATGTATATGTTCCCACTGCCAGTGTGACTCTAGATGGACAACCAGCTGGTAATAGGGTCAAATGGGTTATAACAATCAAGCTTGTTCATTAATGTATAGGTTTCCACTGCCAGTGTGACTCTAGATGGACAACCAGCTGGTAACAGAGTCAAATGGGTTATAACAATCAAGCTTGTTCATTAATGTATATGTTCCCACTGCCAGTGTGACTCTAGATGGACAACCAGCTGGTAATAGGGTCAAATGGGTTATAACAATCAAGCTTGTTCATTAATGTATAGGTTTCCACTGCCAGTGTGACTCTAGATGGACAACCAGCTGGTAATAGGGTCAAATGGGTTATAACAATCAAGCTTGTTCATTAATGTATAGGTTCCCACTGCCAGTGTGACTCTAGATGGACAACCAGCTGGTAACAGAGTCAAATGGGTTATAACAATCAAGCTTGTTCATTAATGTATATGTTCCCACTGCCAGTGTGACTCTAGATGGACAACCAGCTGGTAATAGGGTCAAATGGGTTATAACAATCAAGCTTGTTCATTAATGTATAGGTTTCCACTGCCAGTGTGACTCTAGATGGACAACCAGCTGGTAATAGGGTCAAATGGGTTATAACAATCAAGCTTGTTCATTAATGTATAGGTTCCCACTGCCAGTGTGACTCTAGATGGACAACCAGCTGGTAATAGGGTCAAATGGGTTATAACAATCAAGCTTGTTCATTAATGTATAGGTTTCCACTGCCAGTGTGACTCTAGATGGACAACCAGCTGGTAATAGGGTCAAATGGGTTATAACAATTAAGCTTGTTCATTAATGTATAGGTTCCCACTGCCAGTGTGACTCTAGATGGACAACCAGCTGGTAATAGGGTCAAATGGGTTATAACAATCAAGCTTGTTTATCAATGTATAGGTTCCCACTGCCAGTGTGACTCTAGATGGACAACCAGCTGGTAATAGGGTCAAATGGGGACATCAAGGGAACCAGATTGCTGTCGGAGATGCTGAAGGCAAAATATGGATATACGATGTGGGAGAGGTAAGCAAAGCTAAATTCACTTTATCTTTTGGAGTTATAGTTGTAAATATGTCTCCAGATATAAGCATTCATAGCCATCTATATATATAGAGTTTGGCCAACCTGGTTTTAGTTGGCACACTATGGCAACTACTGCTTTGTTGGGCAGCACAAGACAATTTTATATAAGCCATATTGTGATGAACTGACACCAAGTTGATTAAACTCTTAATATAGATGGCTCCGTAAGAATCTGGAAATCAGGTCTGGCGAGTTAAGATTTAATTCAATTTTGAATATTACAGCGATGGAGTTATGACTTTGGTATACAGTGTAGGAGATAGAAGATGGTGTTTGGAACTTTTAAAAGAAAATATTGTTGATTAAATTTTGCCTGGAACATGTCATTGATTGCTAAAACAACAGTACTGTAAAGGTTTCATGAAAATGGTAGTCACATTAGAAATTCGCCTCATTTTCTTTCTTTCTTTCTTTCTTTTCTTTGTTCTTGTTGGACATTTTGGTAGAATCCCCAAAATTTTAGATAACAAATACATGTAGTTGGAAAACCACATGAAATACTCATTCTGTGTGAAGAATCAGGGAAACCAAGGTGCGAGGGACACCTGTATATCTATATCATTTATTTAGGAGGGAGAGGAGAATGAAAATAGTAATAAAAGTAGCCTATTCAACAATTCTTATTCTATGATTGTATCCACAGAGCCTGGCAATGCCACGTAATGATGAATGGCCCAAGTTTGTCCGTACTCTAGCTGATATTAGAGCAAATACACAGACAGAGACCGATGAAGAACCAGCAAGATAAATGTGATATTTAGAATATATTGGTAATTGCTCCACTTCAAAAGCCTAAGGCATCAGTGTAAAATATTAGATCTGGATTGGCTGAATGCATGATTCATGTGAACTCTTGGTACAAGAAAGTGATTATTAAGCTAAGACACAATTTCATTCATTCCAAGACCATTGTATATACATTAGAAAGTAGCATGCTATTAACCTCACATTTAACAATGAGGTAGAATTGTTTAGAGACGAATATGCTGTTGATCACTAATAGCATTTAATTCTCTTTTTGCAGTATGCATGACTAAGTAATACTAGAAGCAAACTGGATGGTTTATACAACAACCTCCATAATGTTGGTTAGTTAAATTCATGTAACTACTTATTTATTTTGTATATAAAAATTTACACTAGATATTCCAATAACACATACAAATAATGTATTTCGTTTGGGTTTGTTTGTCTTTATCTTAGCATTGTTCTATATTGTTTAAGACTATAAATATATTGATGAATTTAAATTTCATTTATGAAAGTTTTGACATTTCTTTGTAAAACATACCAGAGAGACTGGTTTTCTTTGAACAAATGAGAACAAAGTCAATTGATCCTTTTGGTGCTGTAATTATCTTATCTACTTTCTACCTTGCTTTCTTTTCTTCACTTCTTATTATTACTTCAAGGCACTGGGACCTCTCTCCTCATTTGTTTCCAAACATCTAGACATTGATCTGTTACATGATATCCACTTTTGATTAAGACAGGAATAAACTCTTTGAAGTTAGTGATATTAAATCCCCTCAAAGAAAATGTATGAGAGATGAATTACAGCTCTTTTGTTAGAACCAATTCTCCGTACCGCATATAGCTGAAAACAAGCCAACATTAGTGGCATTCTTTTTTTACTAGCGAATTTGCCTGGATTTTGCAATCACATGAACTTCCGGTCAAAAGACAGTATTGGACTCACACTTCACCGTCAATGACTAAGAATGATAAAAAGTAGTTATGTGTAAATCTCTAATGATTTAAATTTATTAAAAATGTAGACCTTCTGTATCTTTAAATATGTGACCCTGCTGTATTACGGAGATTCTTAAAAATTACTGACAATAGCGCACAATCATGGCTTGGGAAAAGAAGCCACTTGTGTTGCACTGTGTCAATTTTTTTCCAAGGGTATTTCTCCAAGCGCTGGTATATTAATTTTAAATAAAAAATATGCTTACTTCTTGTCTCTTTTTCAAAATGTTGAACTATCGAGCAAGATTAAGAATTACAAATGATTAATTATTAGCATATCGTAGTATAGCAGAATACTTGTTTTAGAATCGCTGGAAGCTAGTGTGTCTACAAAAATTGCCTAGGTATCTGAGGCGCTATTCATTATGGGAATGTATATTGATATATGCAGTAGCGAGAATTATGAATGAACCCACATAAAACAGTGATTTATTTATGCAGCAGTGAGGAAAAATAACTCCTGCTTTACATATAATTTACTTGATGTAATTACTTACTACTTCATAATCTAATAAAACTATTGAATTTATCTAAGTTCACAAATTGTAAAAGAAAGAACATGATATTCTTGCCAAACCATGACTAGCAGTACCGTATATAATACATGTGTTGACAGTTTGAGCTCTATGAGGAACCTAACACATTTATCTTTTATAAAATGTACATGTACAGCCAAATGTTTATTATGTCATGCTCTTTAGTTTTATTTTAAGGAATGAAATGAGAGAATTCTATACATTTATGTTGTCCATTTCTGGCTGACAATATTTAATGTAATACAATACTGTGTCATCATATGACAGAAAGTATTCTAGGGGAGCTATTCTGATCAATGATTTTCACTTCTTAAAATCATCGATCAGTATGGCTGCTCTTAAAGTATGGCAATAGTATAATGTTCAAGCTTTATCTTTGGATATATACGCTGTACATGTATGATCGTCTTGTTATTGACATTTAATAATGTAGAAGGGGCTAGCAGGTTTCCAACATGATAAATCTGATAGCTTTTATGCATGGACACAAAATGGGTGTACATTGTTAGGGATATTCTTACTTCAGTGAGATTGAGTTATTAGAAGTATAACACTGGTAATGTAACTGGTAATGGATATGTGCTTGTAAGGGTAATTATAAATGTTCATTGTAATCATAAAGTGCATGCAGACTTAAGATTAAAATCATGCTTGGCATTTAAATTGTGTAAAATGTTACAATATGAACTAGTGTTGGTCTTTTTATTATTATCATTATCGTTATTACTATGAGGACACCGATATAACAATATTGATTATCTAAGGGAGGGCAGGGAGCACGTGCCCGGGGCGGTACGTTAACGAAGGGGTACAAACCGCCAAAAAATGGAAATAAAGAGGGAGAGAGAGAGAGCGAGTGAGAAAGAGGAGTAATAAAAATGACGGTCCTTCAGGATTATGCCTCCCCCTTCATGGTAAAGTGCATAGGATATAGTGTTTTTAAAAGGTTTGAAATAAAAATTGTTCTCAAGCTTGGTTGCTTTGTTCTCTCTCATATTTCTTTGGGATCACGCAATTCCAAGTGCATGTTATACAGTGCGTCCCAGAAAAAAACGAAACCGAGAACTATCGATGTTTTATCATAACTGAGTCACATTTATTTGGAAAGCTTACATTCTCATCTTTCATTTGATGCAACTCATATGATGCATATTTCATGCATGAATGATTAAAATGAATATGAAGAGAGGAAACCAAAAAGTCATTTGGCGGGCGGTATCTGAATTTTAAATTTCTGCCCTTTCATATGACACCTCAATCATGAAAAATGAGCAAGGAATGACAAAGTTCTGTTTGTTTAAAGTAGTGCTTGCATTTCCATAATTTTATCAAACAAATTCGTTTTCACTGGCTCCCTGCCGTAGCAACAAGCAGAATTGACAAAAGACTAAACTCCGTTTCGTTGACAATTAGCCATATATGAAGTCTTTCGTCTACGGATAAAGGAGATAAAGTCCTAGAATGATGAGGACAAAGTTAAAATCCTCAGTAAGTGGTAACACTAAGCTCCGTATACAAGTATCAGTCTTTTGTTTCATTAATGATCATTCAACCATAAAACACGGTCTTTTGGAGTATTCCTAATTGAAAGATGTTCTTGCTAACTTATCGACTCGATAACCTAATAATAGCGAAATTGGCAGAACAGAAGGTAGAAGATTTACTATCCCATACTTGAGTGATTCTGAATGGAACGTTCACAACCTAGCTGTGAAAGATCGCATCGCCCCCCTTCATTATGATCTTGGCTCCAACATTATTAGCCCTAAAGTGGCAGCAAACTCTTTTGTCGATATCGTGACTGAATATTTTCAGGAGCAAAATGAATTTCTGGAAAATCAAACCAACCAGATGTATATTGAACACGAACCAAAAACGCTTACTCAGGCTAGGAAACGGAAAAACCTACTACGAAAAAAAGCATTTGGCAAAAATGCAACCAAAGAGGACCGGGAAGCATTTAAACTTGCAATAAAAACAATATCGTACTTAAAGAAAAAAAACAAAGGAACACAGGGACGAAAAATCTAGAGCCCACTTGGAGAAAAGATTTCGGGATAACTTCTATGATTTCTCGAAGAAAGTTTGTAATGGCTCGTTACATGAAAAGTCACCTCGGCCAACGTTTTCTCAGATGGAAGCGGACGAATATTTTTGTACAAAGTACAGCGTCCCCAATGTTATTGATCTTACGTCGTTGTCCTGGTTCCCGTACGTCAACGTGAATTCGGAAAACTACCAAAGCTTCGATATGAACTCGTTCAAACCCAAGGATGTTAAGAATGTTCTGAAACGGAAAAAAGCAAGATCAGCACCCGGTGATGATGGTCTGATGTATGGAATGCTAAAAAACTTGTACTGTACCCACCACTTCCTGGCAACATTATATAATAAGATTTTGGAAAGTGGCGATCCCCCCGAAATGTGGTCCGAATCAAAAGTTGCCTTAATTTTCAAATCTGGTGAAACAACAAAACCAGAAAATTTCCGGATGATATCTTTGACGTGTTGCATTGGTAAAATATTTAATCAGATCTTATCGGAGAGAATGTCAACCTATCTCACAGCCAATGAATTCATAGATAAACGGGTCCAGAAGGCATTCATTAACGGAGTGAACGGCTGTATAGAACACAACCAAGTCGTACATGAAATTCTGAAACATGCTCGATGTAAACAAAAAACATTGCACATCACATTCTTCGACCTGGCCGACGCGTTTGGCAGCGTGAGTCATCAGCTGATCTCTACGTCATTAAGCCGTTACGCAATACCTCAACCAGTAGCCCGTTACATTGATGTTCTCTACTCAAGACTAAATGGCAGAGTATGCGGTCCGGGGTGGCAATCGGAACGCTTTGCTTTCAGGAAAGGGGTTTTTCAGGGAGACCCTCTATCCCCAATTGTATTTCTCATGTGCTTCAACCCAATTATTGAATATCTTGAAACCCAGAAGCAGCAATATGGCTACGATTTCGCCGGCCAGAAATTAATAACTACCCCGTATGCCGACGACTTTAACCTGATAACTGGAAATAAAAGGTATCATCAAAAACTTGTTCAAGAAGTAGATAAACTTCTCAGTAGTATGGGCTTAACAGTCAAAGCTAAGAAGTGTCGTTCCTTATCAATTTCAGGCGGTAAACCAACAGTTATTGATTTTTGCTTAGCTAGGGAACAAATTGCATCTGTACAAAATAATCCTATTAAATTTCTCGGATCTCAAATAACTTTCAGGATGAAGACTTCAGAAACATATGATTTCATCAGAGATAAGGTTGATAGTACCCTCACGAATATAGATAGTGTAAACACAAAAAACGAGTATAAGCTAAAAATTCTTAATGATTATGCTCTCTCCTCTATGAGATATATGTTAACTGTACATGACCTTCATGCAACTCACCTTGGACAACTAGATACACTTCTAGACAAATACATTAAAAAATGGATGGGCATCCCCCGGTGTGGTGCCAATATTGCTGTAGTTCATGCCCCAGCGGGGCTTAATATTCCCACTATCTCTGAACTCTACCAAACATGTCATTGCCTTGCCTACAGTAGATCGAAAGTTAAAGGCGACGAAATGGTAGTTCACGCCCTAGATCAACAACTGGCCAGAGAGGAAAACTGGACCAGAAAGTCATCTACAATTCAGGTTGCACACCAAATTCATCAAACCAGTTTACAAACGAATTGGAAAGATACTAAAAAATCAGTCAAAATGAACCTGAAAGAGGAAAGCAGGAAAAAGTGGAAAAATGAAATAGAACCTCTCCTAGTCCAAGGTGAATTCATGAAGGTACTAGAAATAGAAAACTGTGACTTGTCCTGGAAGTCCATCATCTTCAATCTGGCACAAGGAGTTATGAAATTTGCAATAAATGCAGCGATTGATAGTCTGCCGAGTAATAAAAACTTGTATAGATGGGGTAAGCGAATAAATGACTTGTGTAGTTTATGTCAAGCCAAAGGTACTTTGCATCACGTATTGAATAATTGTCAGGAAATGTTAAATAGATACACGTGGCGCCACAATAACATTGTACATAATCTGCTAAAGACCATCAAACAGAACGGCCTTGATAGTGATCACCAAGTATATGCTGACGTGGAAGGGGAGACAATCAGTGGAGGGACGGTTCCCCCAACCATTGTTCCAACACAACAAAGACCTGATTTATGTTTCATTAATTTTAGAAAAAAGGAAATACTAGTATTTGAGTTGACAATTCCATTTGAAACCAACATTCAACAGGCTCACCAAAGAAAGCTTGACAGGTACGCCGGACTAACACATGATATCTCAGAAGCCGGCTGGACTCCCAAATTAATGTGTATAGAGATAGGCTCCCGAGGTTTGATAACTCCTGACAACAAGAAAAGACTTATAGATATGTTGAAAACATGTAAATGCAAAGTAAGGTATCCACAAGTACTAAGAAATGAAATCTTGAAAACCGTACTGTTTGGGTCGTATGTTATTTTTCACAGCCGGTCGGAACGCACCTGGCAATCACAACATTACTTGGGAGTGTAAGTGGTTTAACTAATTTGTATGACTTGCAATAGCGAGGCCTCTTTCTCTCCCTCTCCCTCTTTCTCTCTCTCTTCCTTTCCCTCTTTCTTTCTTTCTCTCTCTTCCCCTCTCTCTCTCTCTCTCTCTCTCTCTCTCTTTCTCCCCCTCTCTCTATGGGGACAGGTTCTCGTGGTGTGATTACGCATGCTACTATATTGACAGATATGATGACGGTACCTAAATGTAAGGTGTGGCATAATTATGTAATTGGGAAAAGTAATATTTCAAAAGTATATTCTGTGGGTTTATATTGTTTTTTACAGCCTATCTGAGCTCACTTGGCATTGCTAACTAAGAAAGTAATAATTATTTTTGTTTTTGTTATTTTGTTAGGAATTATTAATGTTTTCATTTAAAACACTGACGTTATGATGTTCTCTTTTCCGTTTTGTTTTTGTGTATTGTAATTGTTCAACCCTGCATGAGATGCATTTAATGTAATACAAATCTCTGTCCTGGGTTTTATGTCACATCTTTATTATTATGTTATATGTATACCTTCCTGAATAAAGATGAATAAACAATAATAGCGAAATTGGCAGTGGCCAAGCTACCACTGGCCCTCTGTACCGATTCCTGAATAATAAAAACAAACACCTCCGCAAGCTAAATTTGCAATTTTCATTAGTATTCAACTTATCAGAAACTAACCTATCATTTCATTTCATTAGAAATCCTCTCTTTGTCTCTTGGAGACAATTTCCTAGAACTGTTTGGTTTTTTCTCGTACGGTTCTACTTTCGTCCGAGGTCTTCCTATAGGCACAAACCTGGGGGGGGGGGTGTACTCGCCTAATACGGTATACGGGGATGTGCCGCTCTAATGGGTTACTTTTTTGCAAAAAATTCCTGATTGGGGTATGATTTTGTGCTACAAAATGACCCTTGAAACTGGGTATGGGTTTAGACGCTTCAACCGTACACCCCCGTCCAAATCTGAGCTTGACGTGTGCCCCCCCCCCACCCCGCCCCTCCCCCCTCCCCCCACTCATCGGTAATGTAATCTGGATTTGTAAATTTAACTTTTATATTCTCCTCTCTCTCTCTCACACACTCTTTCTCTTTCTCATTTTCATCTCTCCCTGTGTCTTCTTCTCTTTTACCTTCTTTTTTCCTTTTTATTCCGTCGTTCTGATTTTTTTTTTTGTAGGCCGCCATAAAAAAAGAGGAGGGCCACGACCCCCCCCCCCCCCCCAACGATCCGCCACTGATTTACACATTAATTTATGCACGCATAATGCAGTTTACTACTACTACTCCGACTACTACTATGGTAAGTTCAAGTTCAAGTTCAAGTTTTATTTCCACATCTGATTTTAAAAGTACAGTTTATATGCATATATATATACATTATCAAACGTTTAAATGAAACATCTTCAATATAAATCATAATGTGGTGGGAAAAAACAAAGGCCGATGGCCTATCAAGGTTATTCCCAAAGATAATAAAATTTACATAAAAAGTTTCTTAAATTTACTAAAAACGAGATAGAAAAACAAAGATTAAAATAACACAAAGCATCAATAAACAGAACTAAACCATACAAATCCATTAAAAAAAAAACAAGAAAATGCATTTATGCAATGGTAAAAAAAGTAATCCTAGTTATACATATTCATTTACGAGATATTTCTTAAGTTTTCTTTTGAAAATTGATACTGTTGGGCATATTTGGAGTTCTTGAGGCAGTTTGTTCCATAACTTTGATCCGGCATAAATTATAAATAATTGTTGTTCTTGAAACTGGGAAAGCTGTTACTAAGTAAATTAATGAATTAAGGTATGTGAAAGTGTAAATCATTCATGCAAATTGCGTTTTGAATGGAAGTCCCTAATAGTGGGTACAATTTTCTGTCAAAATGACCCTTGAAACTGGGTTTAGACGCTTCAGCCGTAAACCCCCTTCCAAATCTGAGCTTGACGTGTGTCCTACCGGGTACCCATTTAACACCTGGGTGGAGAGTAGCAAGTGCAGGTAAATATCTTGCCAAAGGATATTAGTGCCGTGTCGGGATTCGAACCCTCGACCTTCTACAGTCAAGCGCCTTAAACCACTCGACCACGACACTCCCACTCGATTCGGCCCCACCCGGATCCGCCACTTCTTCTCTGTCCAAAGCGGGGGGGGGGGGGAGGGGTGAAACAAATGTCCCTTTAACATAATTATTCTTTAAACATCTTAAAGTCACATTGTTTCTCATTCTACTATATCTACTCTACGCTAATTAACAATTTTCTTGGTATTGTAGCCCGTATTGTAGCCGTATCACAGCGTAGTATATAGTAATTGTAATGTAATTCTTAGTAATCAAGTTCAAGTTCAAGTTGTATTAAGTACAATTGTGTTCATATATATATATATATTAACAAACGTTAAAATGAAACATCTTCGATTTAAATCATAATGTGGTGGGAAAAAACAAAGGCCGATGGCCTATCAAGGTCATTCCCAGAGATAATAAAATTTACATAAAAAGTTTCTTAAATGTACTAAAAACGAGATAGAAATACAGAGATTAAAACAACACAAAGCATCAATATACAGAATTAAACCAGACAAATCCATTACAACAGAAAAGGAAAAGGAAAGGCATTTATTTAAAAATTAATCCTAGTTATACACATTCATTAACGAGATATTTCTTGAGCTTTCTTTTGTAAATCGATACTGTTGGGCATATTTGAAGTTCATTGGGCAATTTGTTCCATGATACTTGATAATTCTTGATTACTAAGAACCACGAAGGAATGGAACAACCTACCGTCTTCAGTAATTTCTGCCAAAACTACCTCTGCATTCAAAGCAGAGCTGTTCATTTTTTTAAAACCCACAAGCCAAAAGTAACTGACCACTCAAAGCCACACCTCCAGTTAAAATTCCCTAGTGGAATGTTCCGGAGGAATCCAATCCAAGATCCAAGATCCAAGATCCAAGATACCATGGTACTGTAGAATTAATGTCATGTATTTTCCGTAAGTATAAATGTATTTCTTAAATATGGATTATTATTGTTTCTAATGTAAAATGCATAGAAATGTATTATGTAATGCGCTGCAACACATTTTGTGTGTGTTATTCATTATCAAATACGTAGAGAACATAAGCCACCACACTGAGCTAACGGCGAAACATAAATCACCAAACTGCCCCCCCCCCCCCGACGCTGCAATATGTGATACTTGTTTCTTAATTTGAATATTTGTTAATAGGCCCAGTTAGTTGGGCCTGCCTGCCCCATTATAGTCCATCAGACCACATATCATATCATTATATGAATATGAATATGAATATGAATATGAATATGAATTATATTAAACGGTCGCCATGAATTGTCATATTGGCCTTTCATCATAGAATTTAGAGTCTGGTATGAGTATGATGTCCGATGTCTTCTCCTTCTAGTCTTGTTTCAGGAAGTGCAAATCCTCGTGTTTCAGGGAGAAAGAATGCAAGAAATCCAGCAATAACAGCCAGAGAGCCGAAGATTACAAGCGGCAAAGGAGCCCATAGTTTGTCTAGTGTCAGTATGAAAGGCGCTAACATGGTCGCTACTCGAGAGAACATGGAGCACGTCCCAACAGCGATCGTTCTATAAAGTACAACAAAAATTGACCCATAATCAATGATTTTAAAAAAATTCATTTTGTACAAATAAATATAACTTGTCGTTTGTATTTTGATATTAACCTCAACCTTTTCTTAATAGGACATAATTTAATTTGTGAACGAACTATTGGGAAAATCGAAGTATTAGAAAAATATTGATTTAATTGCTTTACCTCAAAGATAAATAGATATTGTTAAGACTATAAATGTATTTCTGAATTTAAATTTTATTGATGAAAATGTGTTTATTTATCATTCAAAATTTGGTTAATTTTATTTGAAAAGATCAGAGACAATGAAAGTTTGTAAAGTGATAAAGGACACTCTCTTTGAACCCCTCTGAAAACCAGCGATATCATGTTGTTATAGTAAGCAAAACTATCCATCCGTATGTATGTATTATTATGTACATATATTTCATGTTGTTTTTTTTTATACGGGAAATAAATACCACCACCACTACTACTAATACTACTACTACAACTATTCCTACTACTTCTCCTACTATTTCTCCTACTTTTCCTACTACTACTACTACTTCTACTACTAATACTACTACTACTACTACTACTACTACTACTACTACTATTACTACTTCTCCTACTACTAGTACTACTTCTACTACTACTACTACTACTACTACTACTACTACTACTATTACTACTACTACTACTACTGCTACTACTACTACTACTACCACTACTACCACTACTACCACTACTACCACCACTACTACTACTACTACTACTACTACTACTACTACTACTACTACCACTACTACTATTACTACACCTTCTTCTACTTCTACCACTACTACTACTACTACTACTACTCCTACTACTAACACTACCCCCTACTACTACTACTACTACTACTACTACTACTACTACTACTACTACTACTACTACTGCTACTACTACTACTACCACCACTACTACTACTACTTCTATACTACTACTACTTCCACTACAACTGGCGCAATGAGCTAAAAGAGAGGACTCACCTGATGTTAGTAGGATAAAGCTCTGCCGTGTACAGGTAGACTATACCAAATGATCCTGATATTCCGAATTTACCAATCATTGCAATGGTTGTCAACCACAGGCCAGCAGCTGCAAAACAGTATTAGAAGAGAGCGAATTAATGTAGCATTTATTGAACTGAACTCAATTGAATTCAATCGAAAAGGTATCTATTAAAAAAACATTTCGCAGCTCAAGAGCTGAATTACATGGAATATAAGTACACCACACTTAGAAATTAACATGCATATTTACAAACACGGCCATTATACAAAATAAGCAAAGATATGCACAAAAATAAAGAGGGGGGAATGGGAGGGTTGTATGATAAAAAATTATATGCTATTTAAAAATATTAAAAAACACGGATTAGGTCTACTTGGCATTGCTTGGCAACTGTAGATAGAAATGTTGTGTAAGCCTCAAATAATGTTTTATAACTATGTACATGTATGAAAAAAGCACGGACCTGCTTTTTTAAGATCAGCGGAGTTCAAATTATTCCTATGGGATATTTATTATTTCTATATGACAAGCAAACTATCATGTCAAATGCTGTTTAACTTTTATTTTAGGGTAATCTTTCAAACATTGATTCGGTCTGTTTTATTATGTTGAATGTTTTGAAAAGAATTAACTGCATCAACTTACGAACGAGCGCTGTGCATAAACATGACACACCTCCTAACAGTACCAATACAATAAGGCTTGGTCTCCTCCCAAAATACTCCACTGTAAACATTGCGATGATATAAGCTGGAATCTCGACCGCGCCTGCGACGGCGAAGGCCGCGTAATCATTGGCACCGAGGTTTGAAGTGTTTAGTGAGAGGCCCGTATATATCAAACTGTGAGCCATCCTGCATGTGACCAAAACAAATTCTGACTATTATGAAAGCCAAATTAACCAAATGCCCCCCACCACCCCCTCCCCCCCCCCCAAAAAAAAAATATATATATATATATATATATATTAAAAATTAAAAAAAAATGTTGCAAGACTGTCATCCCTTTTAAAATTACCATTCTTTTGTCATTCTGACGTTTATTAAAAAATGATTAGGAAATTATATTTAGCCACTTTTATTACCGACGTGTTAATCTGATTGTCATGAACGATATGAATATCAAGGATGTTACCGTTAATCCAAATTATTTAATCTTAATGATTGCATAGTGTTGGGAAGCATTCCTATCACATAGTAACATGTTAATTATATATTACCTTCCAAAGAATGGACACGTTTGAATAATTTAAAAAGACATATTTGGTCATAAACATCTGGTCATATGACATCGGTAACTGTTCAATGAATCCTTGATTAGCTTACCAATTGTACACCATATTCAAGGTTCGGAAGCAGACTTTGCGAGTACGAAATAAATCGATAGCTCTTAGTTTTGATTCCTTGCGGGCAGCATTCTATAGAGGTAAAATGATGTGAATAACATGATCACATGCGCACACATGCAACTTTGCATCTTTCTAAATCCAATTGACAATGATTGCTGATTTTTAATCAACTCAGTGAAATTTGCGTCCAATTTATTATTTAAGTGAACGATTATAAACATGCAGTCATATCATGAACACGAAGTCACGAGAAATCAACGCATGGACAATTTCATCCCATAAACGTCATGTTTGAATGACGTAATGTTCACACATTTATACTACAAATATGTGAAGGACAAGGCTTCTAAAAGTCATTGCAATCACGTTTGAATATACATTAACTACGGCAAGATTACACTAACAACAGCTGTATTTAACTGAGGTACGTGAATACATTTGTAAATTGAATAGAGTTCAATTACCTGAAGCAATTTAAAAGATCTCAGATAAAACGCCAATAAATATTGTCAATAACAATTATGTTTGAAATCAGGTAACACTAAACATAATCATGATTAGCACCATTCGTGAAACTTTATAAAGCTTTATTATATCAATAAATCCGTTGTTTACCATTTCCGCTTACAAACCTGTTCCATTTTGAATTCTTCTGTAAATAGGGGATCTGGAGCGGTCTTCTTATTGACTTTTGCAATTTTCATCACAATTTTCTTGGCGTGGTCATATTTTCCGTTCGATATCAACCAACGAGCAGATTCTGGTAGTACTCTATCAGTCAAGGAAATACAATGATACAAGGTCATGTTAAGTACTCTATCAGTCAAGAAAATACAATGATACAAAGTCATGTTAGTTCTGGTAGTACTCTATCAGTCAAGGAAATACAATGATACAAAGTCATTTTAGGCTTTATCTTGCATGTAGTGATTTCACTGCTTCACTTGCTTTACTACTTGGTTGCTTTTATAATTGGTTTTTCAATATTGGTAGCTTTCATTTCTATCTACAAATATGAAGAGGACGTGAAAATAAAAAGATGTACATGCAACATGACGGCCACGCAAAGTTTGAATTTGTTATCGAAAGTATTTTCGATCGTGTTAGGGTCGAGAATAATAATAATAATAATAATAGCTAGTTCTTATATAGCGCTTTTCAGGACCGAAGGCCCTCTCAAAGCATGGTATATTTGGAATACGAGGTACATTTGAAATAGGGCTAAGTCCCCAACGGAAGACAGAAACTCATTCTTCTTTAATCATCAGGTCAATTCTCTTTAGAGATGTAAATAATAATAATAATAATGATGGTGATGATAATGATAATGATAATAACGATAATAACAAATAATAATAATGCTAATGCTAATAATAATAACATAATACTAATATTAATAATAATGATAACACAAATGATAATAATGATAATAATAATAACAATAATAACAACATAAATACATTAATCATTATTTACAATATTAACATTTTCGCAATTTTTCGAACTTTTATTAGAAAGTTAATGCTTATTAATTGAATGAAAATCAAACTCATCTTACATCATGAGAGCGACGAGGCATGAAAGAGGAACAGAGACAACAAGTTGAAGTGTTCTCCAGTCCCTTACAAAGTAAGCCACGAGAGCTAGGAACATATAACCGAGTGAGTACGGGATGCACATCAAAATTCCTGCGATATTCCGTTTGGATGGCCCAACATATTCCGTTCCTGTACCATCCATAAACCATAAGTACAAAGAAAGTTTCTTTTGCAAAAGTATCCCATCCAATCTGAAATAAGTATTTGTTTTATCAATATCATGACATCCATACGTTACACAAATTTACTATGCACTTTGAAACATTATTCCAAGATGGAAGATGGAATATTAAAAAGTACATAACAACATACGTGTAAATAAGCAACTAACAAGACATAGATAAAATCATTACAAAGGTAATTGAATAATCTTCGTTTAACGGCTAAACGAGGATAAATTTATCTTCGTTTAACGGCTAAACGAGGATAAATTTATCTTCGTTTAATGGCTAAGTAAACGAATACTTTTATTTTTGTTGTTTTTAATTATTACTACTTACCGTCTTCTGCTTCGATAAATTTATTCTCGTTTAGCCGTTAAACGAAGATAAATTTATCCTCGTTTAGCCGTCAAACGAAGATAAATTTATCCTCGTTTAGCCGTTAAACGAAGATAAATTTATCCTCGTTTAGCTGTTAAATGAAGATAAATTTATCCTTATTAAACTGTGATAAAGAAGATGAATTTATCTTCGTAATAATAATAGATTTGTACACAGTCGTATTTATTTGTATTCAGTGGTACATATTAAATTGTATAGTACATTTGCATATCTAATTTTCATTTGTTTCAATTATTTCAATTATTTGTCTAGAGTGACCGCCATTCCTTTATAATCGAATGATAATTGAGTGAAGAGACTGGAGAGCGTGTGTAGAACAGAGATCGATAAGTCAGATATGTGGGTGGTCGTGTGTGGAGATGTGAAAGTAAAATCAAGGACTCAGCTTGATGACATTTTGAGGAAAAATGAACAAAAATTCGTTCATTTTGAAAAGATATACTGTTTGTTATGAAAAGCTGATTACGTTTGGATAAATTTGTCAAATTGCTTAAAGAGTGCAGTAAAAATCGATGTAATTGCTACATTAATTTGAGATGACATTAACACGTACGCAACAATGCAATAAAGCTTGATAACATGTTCAATGTCTCTTTATGAAATACGTGTTCAATGAAAGATCATGATCTAACCAAAGTCTCATTTCGATACTAAAATAATGATGCCTTACCTATGACGAATAGGATAATATAACATGATATAAGAGCCATTCCTTGAAAGAATCGAAGTATAATGAAAATCCACCAGTTCGGGGCAAAGGCCAACGCCACACTGCTGACCGTCCTTAGTGCTGTGCATAGAGCTAACGTCCACCATCGTCCTATCCTGAATATGTAATATACGAACCAGAGTTTGCATATAGTATGTATATGAAGAGAAAGTCTTTCAGACTTTCATAACGGCCCCAATTTCAAGAAGAAACACTTAATCCCAAAGTGAGTATCAACTCAAAGATCACAGGTGAGTAAGGCGGGGGGATTAGTAGTTGGTAAGCGTCAACTCCTATTCAGAAAGGGGACATGGCCTCTCTGATATTTTCCTTTCAAAGTTTCTTTCAAAATGATGTAAATTGATCAAATCATTTATTCATTTATTTAAAACAAGGTAATTTCATTAACAAATTAACCTGGATAAGATTTAAAATTACACCTCGTTGCCCGAATGTGACCGATTAACCTAACTTTAACGATTTCCAGCGGTAGGGGCTGCCTCGTACACCGATAGTCGTAACGAATTAAGTCATCTGAAAACACAGAATAATGTAACAAAATGATGTAATGAATGTCATACCCATCGGATAGAGCGCCAAATACTAGAGATCCAACGAGGTAACCAGCATAGAAAACGGTTTGAGCAATCTCATTCAGATCATCCCTCTCGCAAACAAGGTCGAACTAGTAAATAAATTAATAATGTACTCATGGTTTATCATCATAGGCGGATAATGGAAAGAGAGAAGAAAAAACATCTACACTTCGCCATTACACTTTCGACTGTTAATCTATCATTCATAATTTTTGTTTTGTTTGTTTGTTTTTGTTTGGTCGTTTTGTGTTTTATTTTAATGTCACAGTGTACTCCTTAAGACAAATTTACTGTAGAATTAAAAGTAGATATTCATTCAAAGCAGGGGCGTAAATCCCGGGGGATGGGGGGGGGGGGCTGCATCCCCCTGGTTTGAAGTAGGGGGATGGCCTGTACAAACACCCCCCCCCCCCCTGATATTACAACAAAAAGAGAGAAAAAGGAAGAAGAAGAAGAAGAAGAAAAGAATGTGATTGTTTCAATTTCAGCATAATGCATGAGAAATGAGTTATTTTTGTATGTATGTATAACTGTATAGCCTACACGTATAGTATGTCACTATCATTAAGAATAGTTGCGCGACGTGCGCGAACAAGCACTTCATAAACTTCAGAATAATAAGAATCCCACTATATACACAAAATGCATTGGGCCGGGCCCCGGCCGGCCGGCCACGCAGTCTTCTGCATATTCAGGGCATGCATGCTCCGCTCTCTCACGCGCTAGCAATGCAGAACAATTTTCCCGCCCGCGTAATCTAGGGGAGGAAGGGGGCCAATAGGTTACCGTGACGACTGCACTGATCTTGATTGCGCCGTGTGTGGTCGAACGTCAGTATAAAGCGCCGTTGCAGGTTAGACCGTTTCAGGAACGGTCTAAAGTTCGCCTTCTCGTCTTCTTTGTATAATAATTAAATCAACGTCTAAGCTTTTCGCGCTTCGCGCGGGGATGGGAAACTGAATTCAGACGAGAATTAAGAGTCGAGAACAGTACACCCAATCGTCTGCTTTCTCTAATAATTTAAGGAAACGTCAAGGCTTCCGCGCTTCGCGCGGGAAGGGGAAACTGAATTCAGACGAGAATTAAGAGTCGAGAACAGTACACCCAATCGTCTGCTTTCTCTAATAATTTAAGGAAACGTCAAGGCTTCCGCGCTTCGCGTGGGAAGGGGAAACTGAATTCAGACGAGAAATAAGAGTCGTGAACAGTACACCCAATCGTCTGCTTTCTCTAATAATTTAAGAAAACGTCAAGGCTTCCGCGCTTCGCGCGAGAGGTTGAAACTGAATTCAGATAAATAGGGCTTATTAAGAATCGAAAACGGTACATCGAATCGTCTGCTTTCTCTAATAATTTAAGGAAACGTCAAAATTTCCGCGCTCCGCGCGAGAGGGGAAAACTGAATTTAGATAAATAGGGCTTATTAAGAATCGAAAACGGTACAACGTATCGTCTGCTTTCTCTAATAATTTAATGAAACGTCAAAACTTCCGCGCTTTGCGCGGGAGGGATAAACCGAATTCAGACAAAGATTAAGAGTCGAGCACGGTTTAACAAATCGTCTACTTTCTCTAATAATTTAATGAAATGTCAAAGCTCCTGCGCTTCGCGAGGGAGAGAGAGGGAGAAACTGAATTCATACAAGGATTAAGAGTCGAGCACGGTTCAACGAATTGTCTACTTTCTCTAATAATTCAATGAAACGCCAAAAATTCCGCGCGGGAGGAAAAGGGGGTCGGGGGGGAACTGAATTCAGACAAGGATTAAGAGTCGAGAACGGTACAGCAAATCGTCTTCTTTTTATAATAATTTAATGAAACGCCAAAGCCTTCGCGCTTTGCGCGGGAGGGGCGGGGGAATTCATACAGACAAGGGTTAACAGTCGAGAACGGTACAATAAATCGTCTTCTTTTCCTAATAATTTAAGGAAACGTCTAAGCTTCCGCGCTTCGCGCGGTAGGCCTATCACCCACACCCCCTAATGAGCGCGCTTCGCGCACTCTTTGAGTGATTCGCCTGCTCACTACCGCCCCTCCCTTAAATGATATCCTAGCTCCACGCTAGCTCCAGCTATGATGCTTACTAAGTTGACGAAATAATTCGTATATTTATGTCGTCGAGGAAAATGACCATTTGCGCATACGCAAGTAGATAGTCCGTAGGAAAAACAATTTAGCCTTCGGCCCCGGGTATATAGGGTTAAAGTTGTAAATATTGGGACTTTAATTTTGTCGGTAATTGGGGGCTAGTTTTGTCGGTAATCGTTGGCCTCTACACCCCCCCCCCCCCACTAAAAAAGGTCTAGCGACGCCCCTTACCATTATACATCATTTTCTAAGTGATGGGACTCAAAATAAAGAGTTGACATCTTCCTGACGAAATACTCAATCTTTATGTTACTACTTGAAAGTGTGTCGTCTTATTTCGGAGTTCATTATAATAAAACACTACAGTTTGCAGCTGTCAGTATTTCGAAATATATGTCCAATTCTTTTACTTTATGGTTGTCAAATTTGGCATGTGCGTGCAAGTATGTATGCATGTATAAATTTATGTACATGTGTTTGGGTATGTGTGTGTTTGTTGTGCGTGTGTGTGTGTGTGTGTGTGTGTTGTGTGTGTTTGTGCGTGCGCGATCGCGCGCGCTTGCGTAAATTAGTGTGGGCGTGTGCTCGTGCTAGTATGTGATGGCTATCGCCGATCATCCCCCCCCCCCACTCCTCGGTACGGATTTACGCCCCTGATTTAAAGTCTGTGAAACTATAATCAACTAATGTTGATTTCATCGATTTGAAATTGACCAAGGTATACTTGTTTCCAAAAACCAATACAACAAGCCCATTCTATACTCAAATAAAAAATATATTATTTTACATCGTGTCAAAATTAATAAAGTCAGTGCAACAGTCGATTAAGATGTGTAATGTTAATTGGAGTACCTCTGCATCATTGCATCATTGAATGCAACGGATGCTATACTCACATCAGTGACTACAGTTGATATATATTGACTATCATCGTAGACCCACCCCTCATCACATGGTAAAGTTGAATGTAACGGATGCTATACTCACATCAGTGACTACAGTTGATATATATTGACTATCATCATAGACCCACCCCTCATCACATGGTAAAGTTGAATGCAACGGATGTTATACTCACATCAGTGACTGCAGTTGATAGACCCCCCCCCCCCCCTCATCACATGGTAAAGTTGAATGTAACGGATGCTATACTCACATCAGTGACTACAGTTGATAGACCCACCCCTCATCACATGGTAAAGTTGAATGTAACGGATGCTATACTCACATCAGTGACTACAGTTGATATATATTGACTATCATCATAGACCCACCCCTCATCACATGGTAAAGTAGAAAGCATCTCAGTGGTATAGTTAGACGGATCCATGCCTGGAATGAAGTCTACTCTGGATACGTTGTATTTCAGACATTGTGCGTATGTCATCTCATCATCTGTAGTATAGTTGAACGGAATGCTAGCATTCTTCTTGGATAGTTCACATTCATCATATGTTAATCCAGAAGAACTACAGTTGTAAGAACTCCATTCGGAAACCTGTACAAAATAATGTTGTAATGCTCTAGTTAATTTCATATCTGATTATATATTTTAACCCATTCTGTGTATCTCAATCATCAAATCTTCACCTTTTCCCCTTAAATCTAAAGTCATATTTACAAAAATCAAATTACCGTTATTACGCAGACTAAACGAAGGCGATTATATTCGAGTGCTCTTTACTTCCTACAGGGCTTGCAGAATAATACAAAGTAAACACTTGTTATTACAAGATATAACAGATACATTATAACATTTGGATATAAAGAAGCTATAGAAATAGACAGCTCTGTAAAGTATAAAGGGTCATTTTATTCAGTGAAAAGCATGTCAGGTAATCAAAATTTTGTATTTATCATATCAATCCAACTTTTAGCAGAACATTAATGATCGACAAGGGAATAAAGAAAGTTATGAATTGTTGAGAGATGAGATCACAAATCTTAACTACTCTACCATTTTGTTTTGTAGATTTAATTTTTGTAAAGCTGCTCTTTCTCCCATTTTAATGATAAAACACATAATGTACACAAAATATGGGTAATCCCCTTCGAGTCCAAGATGTCTTTCATGACAATGACAAAAAGGACAACATCCATTGTTTTCTGTGCAAACTTTGGGTGATATAGTAAAATGTACAATTCCAATTCTAGAAATATTTTGGATGGTGATTGTTCACTAAGCTCGGTGCAATTTCCAAGTAAACGTGACCGATTTTCGGGATTCATACCTGATTTTCATTATGTTATTAGCGTAGTAGAGTATAGTCATAATATAGCAACTGCGCTATATACATGGACTTATTATTTAATGGCATAGCAAACATACTATCTGTAGGTTGATTCATTTACAATAACGAAAACCAGTATATATGAATGTATCTCATGATAGAGCATCGATAGAAAGGGTGTATCCTAAGAAAAGTGGCACTTCGAGAACACAAAAACCGACAAAGTGTGAACATAAAGCAGGAATAAAATACATTTTAAGATATGGAACCCCCATATTCTAGTTATTTCGTTATTAAGGATCATCTTCGACATTGTTTCTATCTTTACATGGATCTGGATGTGCATTTTAACCATTTTATTTTGATGTTTTTCTCATCGTCTCTGAAAAAGTTTTGTGATTTCGCACTGCACCAAAGTTGATAGGGTTTTCAGCACACTCCTGTCAACGCCTAATGATGTAATCCGCTTGAATTCATAATTACATATCTATATATAAAAAGTGCGAGCGAGCGAGCATAGGGAGTAACCTTTGGGGAATTTTTTTGCCCTCATTAACTTTAGACTATAGAGACACATACGAGTAATTTCAACTCTCATAATCCTGTGTGGGGTAGTGCAAAGATAGACCAAAAGGGGCACATAATTGAAAATTTCACACTTGACAATAACTTTATAATTTTGAACGACGGAAGAGGAACCAGAATAGATCCACGCACTGGGGAAATTTCATGTTGTTTTTTTTTTTTTTTTTTTTTTAAATAAATCTTTATTCAGATAAAATCATGGATAACATCGTAGTACATAAATATTCATAACAAAGCACTTAATCACATGTCTAAATGAGGTTAAATCAAATTATATCTCTATTTACTTGATAGCAGATTTTAAATTAGTAATTGTCTTCTTCCACTTAATAATATTCAAATTCGTTGTCTTAGTTTTGTTTTCCTCTACTTCTATTTTGTATTTCAACATAAACAAAAAATATTTACTTATTATTCTCGTCACTACATTTTCATTAAATTGATTTCCAACACTTGCTTTATAGATCGCAAATAAAGCATAATGAAGTATTAAATCAATATCTGTAACATTTTCTTTTGCGTCATGAAAACCATATACAACACAAATGGATGAGAATTTAAAATCTTTACAGAAGGAGTTACATAATAATATTTCAATAACGTTCCAAAACCTGTAAATATTTTCGCATTCAAAAAATACATGTATAATAGTACCAGGTTTATTACAGTAATAACACAAATTGTTTTCTGTGATTTTCCATTTGAATAAATTAACATGTGTTGGTAAAATATGATACATAAATTTAAAGTTGAATTGTATCAAATAATTATCACGAGCATATTTCAATTTAAATAACCATAAAGAATCCCACTTATAGTAAAAATTTGTCTGTAAAGTTTTGTTCCAGAAGTCTACCGCCCTAGATGGTTTTTGGATTAATTTTATGAGTTCCGTATATATTTTTTTCACAGTAATAGAGTGTATTGAGAATTCAAAACTATTCAAATTCAAATTAGAGTATATCACTGATTTACGTTTGTAATCGTTGAAATCATAAACTTGTTCGCCACATTTTATGATTCGCCTCCATCTTTGTTGTATTGCGGTTCTTATTTTGGCATATTCACTCGACCATCTACCATCATAATAGATAAGTTTATCTTTCAATTCTTTGACTGTCAAAAATCTATTTCCTATCACTATATCCCCTAAAAATAATATACCCGATTTTATCCAATTTTTATACAACAACGCTTTTCCTTTATATTTGATATCACAATTTAACCAAATCATTTCTTTTGTAACACTTCCATAGGTGTGGTGTATATATTTTACATAATTAACTTGCTTTACAGTAAACCATGTACAAAGTAAGTCACAATAGAAATCAGGTATTTTCTCTCTATAAGAAGTCACATATTTTGGTAAACATTTACAGTTCATAATAATATCAATCCCTCCCAGTTTTTCAATCCAATACTCAAACAAAATTATCCACTTCCCTTTCTTTTCTTGGAGTTCTTTAAAACTTAAGAAGCTAAACAACCATTTTATTCGTAAAGACATAACTTGCGTACACATGTCAACAATATTCATGCCTCCATCTTGAAGAGTATTCATCATGTTTTCCTTTTTCACTTTTGCTCTATTACCCCATCAAAAATTATAAAATAACTTTTCATACGCTTTTATCCATTCCATATGGCATGATAAAACTTGAGCTGTATAAATTAATTTTGAAATAACAAGGCTTTTAAAGATAATTACTTTCCCTTTAAATGTCAAATTCCTCCGTTTCCAAGAATTTAAAAGCTATTGTATTTTAATGAATCTTTCTTGAGACCAATTCATATTCACACTCAAAGATTTATTCTTACAGAAGTATATACCCAGAGATTTAACAAAAGTATCACACCAACTTATATTCTTTATTGTCTCTGAAGGAGAAGTTTTGCCCAACCATATAGCTTTAGTTTTATTCGTATTTAAATGTATTCCTGATACCCTTTCAAAATTTTCAATCACATTGATTACCTTCCTTCCAGATTTAACGTCTTGTACAAAAATTGTCATATCATCAGCCAATTGAGCTACCTTAATTTCTGTTTTGTGTCTCCCGATAGTAATACCTTTAATATTTACATTCTGTCTTATTTTGTTGCTTAAAACTTCAATACTCAGGATAAAAAGTAGGACAGACAGGGGACAACCTTGCCTTATTCCTCTAGATGGTTTAATATTGCCAGTAAACCATCCATTTACTGTAACTGATAAGCTTGGATTTAAATATAACAATCCAATCCATTGCCCAAAGGATTGCCTAAAACCATATAACTGCAAACACTTGTCAATTTATATCCATTCCAACGAGCCGAAAGCTTTTCTAAAATCTGTGAAAATAATTGCCCCATCTTTAGCCGTTAAAATAGTCAACCACATTTTGAGCTAGTCTAGCATTATAAATACCGCTTCTAGTTGATATAGTTGATATAGAGTATCTTCAAATCACCGATTTTCAGTGTTCATAAGCTCGTAGAATTGGTAGAGATTGTCACGGATAGGGAAGAGAGAGAGTAAATTTCAGGATAGGAGGAATCCCACAGACATGTTTAGTGATGCAGACAAGCTTTGTCTGCCATTCTGAAAAATATTTCATTTCAAACTTTGCCTAGCCCCCCCCCCCCCCCCTCAAACAAATATTATAAGTACTGTATATATCATACGATATTTTGCACATTTGCTATGGACACATAACTTCGCAAAAGCCCCTGTAGTGTTATTGTGTTTATATAATACAATACCCAATTTTTATACCACCTTATTCCAAAGTCCGTCCCAAGTAGGCCTACAACTATTAACCTGGCAGCATAGTCTCCATATTCTTCCCTTTCTACTAAAGTCTGCTCTATACCCAAGAGCACATAATTCCAATCTCTAGTTCTCTTTATGGAGACATCACGCATCATCACCGAATTTGTTTATTTTATAGCCTATCCGATATGCGTCGGGCTTTGGCAAATATACTGATCGCGTAACGCCCGCGCCGATGTCAGTCTCCAAAACGCGATTAGTATACTTGTAAAGCCCACCGCATATCGGATAGGCTATGATATTTATTATGTGCTACAAATGTAATTGGCCATTTTCATAATGTGACCAAATTTATTCTTAATTGCCGCGGTACGATTTATTTCATTAGCCTGTTACGAATAATTGTATTTCAATCGTCAGAATACAAATTTCATACATTACGAGTTGTTAGGTA